GGATAAATCGTCTGCGATAAAGCCTACAAATTCAGTTTGAAATATTAATATTCATCAACTAGGAGATATGAATGAGTTAGTGCTGAACTTTTGCTTTTCACTGTTTCATAACTCTTGAAAATTACCTGTGTTATGACGTGATTTAGACTGCAAATTATAGCCTTCATAGTTTCTAAACGATTACGTTACACTCTAAATTTAGCTGAACAATTTGGTGCTGGACGTTAAGAGTCAATCATCAGGACGTCCTGTATTATCTAGCTTTCGTGTTTGTTGGCAATCATTATCATCAAGGCATATGTGCGACAATGAGGGAGACGATGCTGCCGTTGATTACTCAAACCAACATCACTCAGCGACTGCTAAGTGTATAAGACTGATCATGGTTTAGTGTTCTCTGAGCTTTGATATATTTTGTCGGGCAGATGGTTTTACACAGAATCGGGTATAATTTTGATGGTGATAGTTCAATCAGTCAGTACAAAAATGTGCACTTCCATATAGGTATCCTAGGAGTAATAATGTGCTGTATTCTTGAGCATTTATAAGTCCATTTCTACCCGGCATAACGTTTTTTCTTTGTTTTTTTATTTCTTAGCTTGAGAAACAACAGTTTGAAAACATCTTAAAAATGTGTTAGAGTACGCGATACGTTTAGAAGACATTTAATAGATGAAAACAAATTGAAAGTGAAGGATTTGACGAATTGGGGTCGGTGGGAAAGTTTTGGAAACCAAAGGTTTAAGCAGGTCGCCTCATTCGAAGTGAAGCATATTTGTATGTTTAGGTAACGTTTTTATTGGCCTTGGATGTTGTCTAATTATAAGACGAGGGTGAGATTTTGACCTTAAATTTCATTCAGTCACGCTGGTAGAAAATATTTGTTAAAATGAAATTATGCTATTTGTCACACTGTGCTTCATTATTGATTTGTTTGGTCAATCAGTAGTTGATTCGCGGAAGAATGCTTTTTGCTTAGGTAGAATGTACATCGATTCTATATCCCCTACGTGTCTGCTAATTGACTTCTAGAAATTTTCTTGTAGCTTTTCGACCCACCGTTTGAAGGGTTTTCCCATTCTTCCAGTGGAATCTATGATGTCTGTGTGCATAGAAAACAAGAAGGCGGCGTATTGTCGCTTTACTGAGAGTTAGTGTTCATGAATTCTCTGAACAGTCTGATGTCTAGACTCCCTCAACGTAGTGTCATGAACAATCTCCTCAACTGATTTTGTAGATTATAGTTGTCCTGTCTCTATTTTGCAACCGATTCTTTGGCATGCATAACATGCTCTGTAGTGATTTTGTTGGGTTGTATGCTACTGCAATCCCGAACGGACGGAGCAATCGACTGACAGTTTTTGAGACATCTTCGATACAGGAGAGCGTTGTAGGCGACTGGATGTGTTACTATTGCATAACACCTCACCAGCCTTACTAAACTAGATGTCCTTTAGCATCCGTTTAATCGGTAGCTTACCTAATGTATAAGTACTGGCAGCGAAACATAAATCAAAAAGACAGTTATTTAGGAATAAGCTCGAAACAGCAATGTGTTAAAACAGAATAAATGTGGAAGTGATTTTCAAAAAAGACGTTTACTCAACTTATCTGACTAACATGTCTGAGCTAGGGACTCTGAGGATGTGTGTGTTAACCAGCACAAAGGGAGCGCAAAATGACCTCAAAACCTGCTCGATTGAGTACTCGTTAAAACAAAACTTAAAAAACCTTTTGGAACCCAAACCAAGCTAGAAGTTTATTTAGTTAATTCAATTTTATCTATTTATTTTGACTTTAGTTGTATTTTGGTGCTGGAAAGGTGCACTACAGAGTAATTGACCTATCTTCTGTTCTTCTGATAAAAGCTTTTTGATAAAGTTGAACAGATAACCATTGACTTTGAACACTTTACACAGGTATTTTTCGATTTTCCGTAGTGCTCCAGTACTGCAATGTGTTTTTGCTCTTCAGAACGGTGTTTGTACACATTTTTTGTGAATTGTAAGATTATTGGTGTTGTGGTTCAAAATTTGACCTGTGTGTGTGGTTTGTTTTTGCACTTGAGTCTGTAAGGTACTATCGAGTGTTTTGCTGATGAGGACATCTGAGAATGAAGTTTTTTTTTAACTTCCCCTATCCCTGTAAAATGATTTCCTTCAAATGTTTGCTTGGTTAGTTTGAAAATGTTTTCTATTTCAGCTTCCTTGAGAATTACGAATGTTGTGAAGGAAGAACAAGTATTTCAGCGAAGAATCGCTTTTCGGCGATTTCATTTTCAAAACTGTACAATCGCAAATTTTTACTTTTTTTCCCTAGTTTGAGGATTTGATAGTTAAAAACGGTTTGTCA